ACCTCTGATGAAGATTAAAGGTGACCTGGAACCATGAGCTATAGCACCCCAAACCATAACTCCAACAGTGTGATGAACATGTCTTTCAACAAAAAACTGTGGATTCCTCCTTTCACCACGTCGCCTTCTAACCCTGGCACGACCATCGTGCATGCCTAAACAAAATCGAGACTCATCACTAAAGACAATACTGTTCCATTCCTGATCCCAGAGTGACCGTTGTCGGCACCACTCAAGGCGATTACGTCGGTGTTCTCGAGTTAAAGGGAGGACCCAGTGTGGCCGGTATGAAAACAAGCCGAAACTTCTCATTCGTCGGTAAACACTTCGCATGCCAATAGGTCTTCCGTGTTCTGCAAACTATTCATTTGCAATGGACCTGGTAGTGGAGAAACGGTCCCTTAAGGCCAATAATCTTAGGCGGCGATCTTCACGGTGTGTTGTTCTGCGGCGGCGTCCAGTGCCCCTTGCTCTTTGCGTACGGCCTTCTCGAAGCCATGCCTGACAACACCTAACCACAGTGTCTACACTTCTTTGCACTCTAACTGCAATTGCCCGAAAAGAAAGTCCAGCTTCCCGAAGTCCCACTATACGGCCCCTATCAAACTCACTAAGTTGACGAAATCGTACAGGTCTCCGTACTCTAGGCGTCGTAACCGATCGTAAAGGATGTCAAGAACCAAAATCCGCCAACGTTGATTCTTTACTGCGGCTGAAATATTCATTTTTAGAGCGTTAGTGAATTAAAAAAAAGCAGTATAAAAACCGGAATGTCCAACTGATAAGGCTGAAAATTTTTTCACTTGTTACTTACAGTAAGATAAATACATTCACCAACTTTTATTAAAATAAAACCATTTAAACGGGGTGTTCGGATTTATATGTCACTTAGTATAATATGCTTTGATTCTGTAAGGCCTAGCTTGTAACTACCAGGTAACCAAATAAGTTCGTGCGGTTTTAGTAGAAAAATATAAATTTTTATTGAGAAACAATAAGACACTATTTATTCATCTAAGTGATTACCATCACCTTCAGTGATCCTTTGCCAACGTGGAACCAATTGTTGTATGCCAGTTTGTAGAACTGGATTTGGAGTCAAAAAATTTGTGGACTGCATTTGTTACACCATCTCGAGTTGTGAACTGTCGGTGCCTCATACAGTTGTCAAGAGACAAAAAAAGATGATAATCACTAGGAGAAATGTCGGGAGAATATGGCGGGTGCGGTAACGTTTCCCAGCCGAGTTCAAAAATTTTTTCCCGGGTCACTTGGAGGTTGGCGTTATCCTGCAAGAATATCACTCTCTTCCGATTGATCAAAGAAGGCTGTTTCTGGATGAGTGCTGCTTGTAATCGTTGAAGCTGCTCACAATACAACTTAGCAGTGATGGTTTGACCCCCTTCCAAAAACTTTCCAAGACAATTTTTCAATCTGTACACAAGCAGGAGGCGCGTTCGTCTCACCATTAAAACCCAGGGTTGCCAGCTCTACTGATGCTCCCATAAATTTCACGAATTTATCCCGGGTATGTACAAAAACAGCCAACGGTTTCCAAATGAGTTCAAAAATGTCTAAGGGTTTTTAAGGAGATAACAAAATAAGCTCAGCAGGCGCGTCTTTTTCTTCCAATAAAGTGTCAGCGGCTCACTTTTCAGCCTTGTTGTGTACCAGGGTCACAACTTTCGTTATATTGAAGCTTGTAGCTACCCAACACTTTCTTATATGTGTCACTAACTTAAGTTAGATCCTCTTTAAAGGATTACACATTACACCTTTAAACATTTATCAAAAACTCGGCGTCACATTTTTATTAAAACCAGTTACATAATTCTGAGCTCTAGTAGATAAGCTAAGCGAAAAAATCACCCAAAAGTAAGTTTAGAAACCCTACCCCAATCCCTATATTTCACAAAGGTGGCAAATCCTGTACAGTGGAGTATACACGCATTAAAGTCTTATGAATACCATAATCAATGTACTTACCGCTACCGGGCACGTAGATGTTTAAAAACAAGCAATCCTCAGACTGGTTCGCAAGCAGCGGCACCAGCTTTTTCAGGTATTGGTATCTTCCCTTCGGCATTTGCTGCAACGCAGCAGTCTTGTTGGTGACGTCCGGGTATTTTTGTGGACAAGCCGGGCCAAAGGTGTCTGCCAATCGGGTTCCGGGCCAACGGATCGGTGGCTGCGGAGGCCGGAAGCGAAGCGGGCCGACAGGCGGCGCTGCGTACGGGACCCCACGAAATACCTGGAGAAACAAACCTAGTACAATCTCTATCCAAATCTCATTTGGTTTGATGGTCTTTGGTTCATTGAAACGTTCATGAATATTACTTAGATTAAGCATAGGTTATTATTGGCACGAAGGCCATAGTATAAGCTTCAGGTGTTACATTAAATATCTATATATATATACTAAGTGACATATAAATCCGAACACCCAGTTTAAATGGTTTTATTTTAATAAAAGTTGGTGAATGTATTTATCTTACTGTAAATAACAAGTGAAAAAATGTTCAGCCTTATCAGTTGGACATTCCGGTTTTTATACTGCTTTTTTTTTAATTCACTAACGCTCTAAAAATGAATATTTCAGCCGCAGTAAATAATCAACGTTGGCGGATTTTGGTTCTTGACATCCTTTACGATCGGATACGATGCCTAGAGTACGGAGACCTGTACGATTTCGTCAACTTAGTGAGTTTGATAGGGGCCGTATAGTGGGACTTCGGGAAGCTGGACCTTCTTTTCGGGCAATTGCAGTTAGAGTGCAAAGAAGTGTAGACACTGTGGTTAGGTGTTGTCAGGCATGGCTTCGAGAAGGCCGTACGCAAAGAGCAAGAGGCACTGGACGCCGCCGTAGAACAACAGACCGTGAAGATCGCCGCCTAAGATTATTGGCCTTAAGGGACCGTTTCTTCACTACCAGGTCCATTGCAAATGAATGGTTTGCAGAACACGGAAGACCTATTGGCATGCGAAGTGTTTACTAACGAATGAGAAGTTTTGGCTTGTTTTCATACCGGCCACACTGGGTCCTCCCTTTAACTCGAGAATACCGACGTAATCGCCTTGAGTGGTGCAGACAACGGTCACTCTGGGATCAGGAATGGAACAGTATTGTCTTTAGTGACGAGTCTCGATTTTGTTTAGGCATGCACGATGGTCGTGCCAGGGTTAGAAGACGACGTGGTGAAAGGAGGAATCCACAGTTTTTTGTTGAGACATGTTCATCACACTGTTGGAGTTATGGTTTGGGGTGCTATAGCTTATGGTTCCAGGTCACCTTTAATCTTCATCAGAGGTAACATGAACGCGCAGCGTTATATCCACGAAGTTCTAGAACCCCATCTTTTACCCTATCTTGACACCCTGGCAGATCCAACTTTCCAACAAGATAATGCCCGACCACATGTTGCAAGAGTCACAATAGACTTCTTTCAACATAATGATGTCACATTGTTACCATGGCCACCAAGATCTCCCGACTTATCCCCAATTGAGCACGTGTGGGATATGATGGGTAGGAGATTGCTCAATTTGCAACGTCCTCCTCAGACTCTAGAAGCACTTCGAGAGGAGTTGGTGGTTGCCTGGAATGAGATACCACAGGAGGACATTGACCACCTGATCAGAAGCATGCCTAGGCGCGTTGGAGAATGCGTAGTACATCAGGGTGCACCCACACATTGTTAAAGGTCAAAGGGCTTTAAAGCAGTGCAATCATTTTGAAATTTTTATCATTTACTTATTATGCTTCGTTAAGTACTTATACAAAATTTTATTAAAATAAAACCATTTAAACTGGGTGTTCGGATTTATATGTCACTTAGTATATATTACGGTGAGCCAGAAAAATGAAAGTTCTTTCTTTCAAACGCATACCCTCAAATTTTTACTTGAACAACGTCAAAACACATGCAACCCGTGTGCCATTTGGGTTCGGACATGTCAAAAGTAGCGTTACCTAACACATTGCAGTGCATTGTTTGTTCTAAATATTAGTAAACGCATAAACAGTCAACATGTCAAAGGAATTACGCAGTTCTAAAAAGGGAATTTTTTTGATAGTGGACATAAGGCATCAAATAACCGGTTCAAAACTTTCCTCTAGTGGACAAGTACTAGCAGCTTTGTTCTATAATATCCGGGAAGGGATTTACTGGGAAATCGCACGTATACCAACTGAATCTCTACCTAACTGTGTTAAGAAACTAGTTAGGTACCTTATATCAAGTTTGAACAGATTTGCCAAAAATGAAAGCAAAATACAAGAAGTGTTTGAGAGTTTGTTGTTACGAACTTGGAAAATCTGTTTGATATCGTGCTTGCTGATGCCTTCCAATTGATGAATATACAATCTTTTTGCAGCGGCAGAGATAGTCAGACCAAGTGACTACAAGCCCTGACATAGCAATGTTTAAAAAGCTTCACGAGAGCTGAAAAAGCGTGCATCCTGATACAATACAGATTTATACTGAAAACCTATCATGCATGCACATTTCGCAGACTAACAAGCTGCTAGAATTTTATCGACATGAATTGACCACAGAAGTTACTAGACACGAGTATCGACAATTAATAGAACTTTAAGTAATATTCAGCACGGGTTATCGTTCTCCGATCGCAATAATATTTATTTTTGAGTTGTTAGAGTTAAACGAAAAAAAATATAGGGTTGCGTATCTCAATTTGTAACAGATGCCTTTTATTGCCGATTAATCATATATTTTTTTGTTGTTGTTGTTGTTGTCGCACAGTTTTAATTTGAAGTAACGCAGCAAGAACTTGAGAAGGAAGAAACAAAAGCCGATAATCTAATCTAATAATCTACGTAGCATATTATTTTTATTCACAGCGTATTACTAAATCAATTTTATTGACAAAAATGACTAGACCGGCCCATTGGCCATTTCCCAAGATGTTTTTAACGGTGTATTTAGCTATATTTTTCTCACGTAATTCATAACCAAAATAAATAACACGCAGACATTTACCTATTATCATGTTTATTTGAAATAACAAACATAACACATGAATACCACGGAATAACTATAATTTTTAATTTGTATCCGTTGTTTTTCTTCTGTAGTCGTTTGGCTGCCTGTATATAGTATTCAGCATCTTCCATGTCACTGAACAATTTGGGAACTGAAACCAAATATTTCTCAATCAATTAAACATAATCCATCCTGATCTATTTTATAATCAAACAATTTCAATTATTACATTTAACGTACAGAAATCGCACTCCATTTTGATCATCTTTACAGTTTCTACCACTAAATTTATAAATATGTAGTCAATTTTCCATGCATTCAGGTAATTAATTGAAGAATTTACTCACCCTGATATGGACAATTTCTTCGTGTGTTGCCTAGTAATTTCCTTGGTTCACCATGAGTAATAATTTTAGTACTCATCTCCACATATTTTCATAAATAACTCGGTTGCTTCCATCCCATGCTAGATCTTCCACCGTCAAGAAATCAATTCAATCTCGAAATTTTCGCCTCGGGGATTTGTTTACATCCCAACAACAATCCGGTTTGTCACTCCGGAGCTAAAAATAAATAAATAAATAAATGTACATCTATACATTGATATCACCTTCTGAATCAAAAACTATTTGTGTTGCATAAATATTATTACTCACCTATTGAACTATGTATTTCTTTTATAGTCAGATGAATTTATTATTGTTTTCCGAAATCTTCCAATGTCAAAGGCTGATGATGTCGAGGTACTATTCTGCGTACCGAACTACTTGTACACCTCGCTTGTTCCGCATAGTTGCCAATTTTATTTCAGAATTTCCTTATGTTTATTAATCAATCAAATTTATATGCAGATATGACAGTGTCGCCACATTTATTCACAATATTTCCTTGAATTTATATTAGGAACCTTCTCATTTTGGGATTAGCCGACAACGTTTGGCTCTTAATGGTCAGGCGTACAACTATATTTGGAAATGTCAAGTCAAAAAAATTAAATTTTGGGATGGGACTTCCTTCCACTATCGGAGGGCCATCTTGTTCTGTTCCGCTAGTGCCAGAAGACCTGAAATTTTCCTCCTCTTTTGCCTGGGGCATCTTCGTTGGATTGTGGAGGAACATTTCATAGATAATTTCCTGGGTCATTCCTGAAATTCTACAATTTGTAGGATCTTATTGTCTTCAGCCGCACTTTTCGGAACCATGTGAAAAACCCTACCCGACATCATCTAGGTGAGCATTATGTTATTTTAAGTAAATGAAAATTTAGGCAAAATACCATATTTCTCATACATATGAGTTTTCTCAAAAGTAAATAATTATTCTTGTTCTAAAATGGAGTTAACTTAGTATTCTGTGGAGCATACGTTGGTTTTATGCTATTTTCCGAGTAACTCAAAGTGTAATTTTAAATCTGTTATACCGGGTGGTCAAAAATCATAATTGAATTATCTAAAATATTTAATTTCTATTCGCGTATAATTAATATTCAATATTTGAAGATTACTTTTCCAATTACGTTAATTGTTGTTAACTAAATTTGTATTTTTTTATACTGTTACATTCGATCGCCTGAATACTATTATTCTTCCTAGGGTTTTTATTTTGGGGGAATCTTCGCTACTGGAGATCCATCGACACGTTTTCTATCGGGGACCTCTTTCCGAACAGAGACCCTTTTTCCATCATAGGGATTCTTACGTCATCGGTTTTGTAGCCTCCCTCGCCCATTTTAAATTAGTTAGTCAATAAGCTTTCGCATTAAGGGATATCTCTTAGTTTGGCTGGCTTAAATTTTTGTTGTTAGCCGTTAGTAGATCTAATAAAATGTAATGATGTTAATTTTAGCAATTATTTATCCACACAGAAAATCTATTGTTTGTATGTATTTTTATTTTTGTTTCTTGCGGTTTTGGGCTAAAGAGTGCCTTTCAACACCAAGGCGTCTTCCAGTTTTGGCGGATAAAAGCTGGCGGCGCCCTCAAAAAAATACCCCCCCCCCCCTACTCTCCGGTGTACCTGAGCATAGGGCCTAATTTGCCAACGCTAAACCACGGCTTTAGCCTCAGTAACCCCCTAGTTTTTTTTAATCATCCGTTGCCTCAATTGAGAGAAATAACTTTAGCTCAAAATTAAAATGCGATCCTAATTGAAAAAAAGAGCGTGGCAAGTTCAAACAAAAATTAGTTTGCCCTCATATGCTGGACGTCGTATGAATCATGTACTGTGAAGTAGCTAATATAACTGCTAACAGTCAATCTATTTACCGCCATTTTTGTACTTGACTGTAGAAACTGGATATATGCGTACCTCAACCGGCTCCAGATGTCTCGAATTCAACTCTAGTATAATCCCCCGGATGGCCCCGCTCTGAATCTCGACAATGCGCGAGCTGTACCGCGGCCCGCAGTGGACAGCGCTCACCGCGAGCAGTACTACGAGCGTGAGTAGCGAGGCGAGCGAAGTCGGTGACGTCAGCGGCGGCCCACCGGACAGACGGGGTGGCATGATACGATGACCAGGAAGGGCGACAACGGCATCACAGTGCCGCTGACAAGGGCTGGTCACCACGAGGGATCACAGAATGCTGGCCTGAAACAAAGAGGATAGATACAGTAACGATAAATTTGTTACAGCGATCTAGTTTAGGATAAAAAACGATTAGCCTTTAAACTATAACAATGAAGTGTTTTTTGAGATATCGTTTGTTGTTGCAAAAGATGTAATTAAGCGATAGTAGTGACCTTTCGCTATAATTGGCATTTAATCACCGTACAATACGTTGTGAAGAACTCTACTCTATTCATTATGCCTGGAGTGAGAAGACAAAAAAATGTTCAACAACATAGCGAGTTTGATAAGAAGCGAATAGTCTGTTTGCGTAAAGTGTAGTGGTCGTTTATACAGGGTCTCCAATAAGTACCACGATAAACTTAAGTAGAAGGTAGGCTTTGGACTGATCTCCCAAATAACAAAACTTACCTATATAGTATACTAAGTGACATATAAATCCGAACACCCAGTTTAAATGGTTTTATTTTAATAAAATTTTGTATAAGTACTTAATGAAACATAATAAGTAAATGATAAAAATTTCAAAATGATTGCACTGCTTTAAAGTCCTTTGACCTTTAATAATGTGTGGATGCATCCTGATGTGCTACGCATTCTCCAACGCGCCTAGGCATGCTTCTGATCAGGTGGTCAATATCCTCCTGTGGTATCTCATTCCAGGCAACCACCAACTCCTCTCGAAGTGCTTCTAGAGTCTGAGGAGGACGTCGCAAATTGAGCAATCTCCTACCCATCATATCCCACACGTGCTCAATTGGGGATAAGTCGGGAGATCTTGGTGGCCATGGTAACAATGTAACATCATTATGTTGAAAGAAGTCTACTGTGACTCTTGCAACATGTGGTCGGGCATTATCTTGTTGGAAAGTTGGATCTGCCAGGGTGTCAAGATAGGGTAAAAGATGGGGTTCTAGAACTTCGTGGATATAACGCTGCGCGTTCATGTTACCTCTGATGAAGATCAAAGGTGACCTGGAACCATAAGCTATAGCACCCCAAACCATAACTCCAACAGTGTGATGAACATGTCTTTCAACAAAAAACTGTGGATTCCTCCTTTCACCACGTCGCCTTCTAACCCTGGCACGACCATCGTGCATGCCTAAACAAAATCGAGACTCGTCACTGTTCCATTCCTGATCCCAGAGTGACCGTTGTCTGCACCACTCAAGGCGATTATGTCGGTGTTCTCGAGTTAAAGGGAGGACCCAGTGTGGCCGGTATGAAAACAAGCCAAAACTTCTCATTCGTCGGTAAACACTTCGCATGCCAACAGGTCTTCCGTGTTCTGCAAACCATTCATTTGCAATGGACCTGGTAGTGGAGAAACGGTCCCTTAAGGCCAATAATCTTAGGCGGCGATCTTCACGGTCTGTTGTTCTACGGCGGCATCCAGTGCCCCTTGCTCTTTGCGTAGGCCTTCTCGAAGTCATGCCTGACAACACCTAACCACAGTGTCTACACTTCTTTGCACTCTAACTGCAATTGCCCGAAAAGAAAGTCCAGCTTCCCGAAGTCCCACTATACGGCCCCTATCAAACTCACTAAGTTGACGAAATCGTACAGGTCTCCGTACTCTAGGCATCGTAACCGATCGTAAAGGATGTCAAGAACCAAAATCCGCCAACGTTGATTCTTCACTGCGGCTGAAATATTCATTTTTAGAGCGTTAGTGAATTAAAAAGAAGCAGTATAAAAACCGGAATGTCCAACTGATAAGGCTGAACATTTTTTCACTTGTTATTTACAGTAAGATAAATACATTCACCAACTTTTATTAAAATAAAACCATTTAAACTGGATGTTCGGATTTATATGTCACTTAGTATAGTTAAAAGATATTAAGGAATCATGATCAAATAAGGGCTATTTTGAGATTTATAAGCTTCTGATATTTTTTCTTCTCTTTGACCATCTGTAGTGAAACAAAAATGTACTCTGGGCTATAACTACATTATATTGAATGAAAAGATTGCTTATTGAATACAGATTTCAGAAAGGCACCACACGTACTATTTGGAGTAGAAAAAAGTGGTAGTTGCTTTTGTAGGCGACTGACACACACTACAAAGTACTTATTGGATTTAAATTCAAGTTGCACTGGTTACCGATCAGTGATATGCCAAATAGTACAAACCTACATTATTATTACCTGCTCCTCATATGATTTTATGGAACTTACTGAAATTCGGACTCGAGTCAGTAACAATAAAAAAGAATTATTTTTAATCATGGTTCCTCAATATCTTTTAAGTTCAGTGCATTTGTATATGATAAAGCAACTATCTAGAAGTATTTTATAGAAAAAGTGAACAAAGTATAACCTTTTTTGTACATGCATCTAAAGACCGCAGATGAAAAGTTTGGTTTTTTAAAACTTATCTGGGTATCAATGATTTGGCTAGCATGGTTTCTATGTGTTTGTGAGCACTTACACATTTATGTTGTAAGCCACTAGTAAAGCTTAATATATCTAGTACTCTTGACTTGATTTGACTTCTTCTACTCGTCAGTGTATGTCGGGGCCTTTTGCACAAAAATTACTGAGGTTTTAACTGACAGAAAAGCGAACCTCTTTAACAAAAAATGCCGAAGGTAGATTATGTGATTATGAAAGTTATATGAAAAAACTTAGATAAGAAAATACTAGTCAATGCACAGAAATAGAAAATAAATCATACTTGTAGATCATCAGATTGTTGAAGAAGTGCTAATCTAGGTCTTTTGTACAGTGCGTCATCTGTCACTTTCTTTTCTATTTGAAAAATCAACACGCTTGTTACGAGGTGAAATGGAATTTTTTTATTGATAAATGAAGGTTGGCTTATGCCATTTATGTATGAAAAATAACATCAGTCATGTGACCACCGCGGCTTCGTTTATAGGCCAACATCCGAACAACAAAATTTTCAATGACTTTTCCCAGAATAATCGGGTCTATGGCCGCAATTTCCGAATATTGCGCTGTAGGTCTTGAATTGTCCGGGGACCATTCGCATGCACTTTTCCTTTCAAAAATCCCCAAAGAAAATAGTCAAGAGGTGTTAAATCGCACGATCTCGAGGGCCAACTGACATCTGAATTTCGTGAAATTATGCGGTCTTGAAATTTCGTCTGCAATAACACGATTGTTTGGCGAGATGTGTGAGCCGTTGCTCCGTCTTGATGAAACCAAAGATCGTCGGCACCAATACGATCCAATTGTGGCCACAAAAAGTCTGTTAAAATGCCGCGATAACGTTCCCCGTTGACGGTAGTGACCTTTTCTCGGCATCTTCAATGGAGAATGGTCCAACGATGCCACCAGCCCATAATCCGCACCAAACAGTATCTTTTTCAGGATGGAGAGGTTGTTCATGATATTGGAGTGGATTTTCAGACCCCGGAATCTGCAATTTTGCTTATTTACGTACCCATTGAGGTGAAAATGAGCCTCACCTTGACCGAAAATCCGTCTTCTCTTTCCAGCATCCAATTAACGAAAACACGCCGCTGTTGATGGTCTGCCTGCTTCAATTCTTGTGTTAGTTGGATTTTGTATGAATGGAAGTGTAAATCAATGTGTAAAATCCGGCGTAAAGTGGTCTCACTAATTCCCAATTGTTGCGAACGGTGCCTAGTCGAGGTGGTTGGATCTTCTCGCACACTTTCACTCACTGCGGCTGTATTTTCACGAGTACGAGCTGGACGAGCACGTTGGTATGGTCTACGAACTTCAGCTGAACCGGTCTCCTCAAAACGATTAACAATCCAACGAATTCCAGGCTCTGTAGGGCATCCATGTCGGCCAAAACTAGTGCGAAGTTTGCGAAAAGTATTTTTTATATTTCGACCGTTTTCGTAATAAGTTTGGATAACCAAAATGCGTTGTTGTGTTGTAAACGAATCCATGACTATAAATGGCATACCTTTGACAGTTCGTTTTTGCATACCACGTACCTTTTGACTCACAAGGTAACACATAAACTTATAGGTGAAAAAAGTAATAGATGGCGCATCCAGTATTTGTGGACGGATTCTCGATCATTATGGCAACGCGTTTCTTACTAAAGGATTATCTGGTTCTCATGATTCCACTTCCAGACCGATTTTTCTGTCATTATATCATATGGCAACAGGATAAAATAGAATGACAGTGTATTGTGACGTTGATACTTCAAGTTTCGTGCTAGGTGTGTATATCATCAGCGCCCCCACATCTGAAATTATTGATATATATTATACATTGTTGGAAATCTCATCCAATCCATCTCTTTCCAGCATATTCGTCCAAATGCGTTCAGCAAATACGGAGCGGAGCTTCTATTTGTGTAATTATTAATGTTTGACTGGTATTAGTTGAATGAAGCATTTACTCTGTATGCAAATCGGCCCGTAGCATCACGTTGCTGCTTGCCTGTTTATCCATCTGAGCTGAACTCGCTATTGCCACTGCAGCCGATCGATCCAAATTGCTATTCAATTGCTCAGTTTGATGAAGCATTAGATTTAATGATTGCATATTTCGGTCGTTTGGTTGTAAACACCGAAATACTGATGTTCATGTCAAAAATTCAACTAGGCTAACAAACCAGATTACAACAACAGCACGTTTCAGGATTTTATTTAGCTTCTTGCTCTTATAGTTTGGCAAACGGATCCGCAACAGCGAAAGGAATGCGACCGAAAATATTCGATATTGCCAAATTTAACAACAAAAAAGCAATAATAATAATAAAAGTAATTTCAATGATTTGAAAATCGATTTTTCACAATTCCAAAAAATATTAATTCAAAATACTGAGAATTTTAATGGGTTGTTAGCTCTATTTGTATTTACTAACTATTTTTTACTACTGAATCGTATTATATATTTTTCCAAAGATCTTATCTACATCGGTTGAGCTGGCAACAACCACCCGAAAGGTATATTGGACACCGCCTAAACGAATCTGATTGGCGGATATCCTCACATGTTTTGTCGCCATGAGAAAATTCGACTCCCTATTGGGTAGCGTCCCAGACAATTTTTTGCTCCT